CCTTAGGGCACCCAGCGTGCCCCGTCTCAGCAAGAGACGCTCCCTGGCTCTGGGGTGCAGCGCCGCAGATGCCAGGCAGGGCAGTCCTCTGCGGCCGCTGACTGGCTGGGTGGCCTGGGGCCAGGCTCTCCTCTTCCCACCCAAAGTGGTGGAAGGGCTGGAGAGCAGGTGGCACATACACCCAGGGCATGAAAGGCTGGACTGGCTCTCCCCCTCTGCAGGCAGCGAGGCCAGAGGCTGATACCACCCCGCACCCTCCTGATCAGACCACAGGACCCCACATGCGCATACATGGAGTCCAGCCCCGTGGTTTATTCCGGGGGTGGGAAGCCTGGTCGGTGCACCCGGTGTAGGGTCTGCAGGCCTAGCCCGCTGGGCTTGTTGGTGAAGGGGTGCCACTGGCCCTGGATGCTGGGGTGGTTGGTGTGGAAAGGCTTGCGGATGCGGATGAGCTCCAGCCCAGACTGGTTGGCCAGCTTGCAGATGAGCTGGGTGATATCCTCGGCCGTCTGGTTGGCGACGGACTCCTCCCGCACGGTGCCGTTCACTGCCAGGACAAGGAGTGCCTGGCTGTCAGTCTGGCTCCAGCCCCTGCATGGCCCCCACCCTGTAGGCTGCGGGAGCTCGGACGGGGCTGGGGGGCCCTAGGTGCAGCAGGGGATGCCTCCTCCCTTGGGACCATGCCAGGTGCAGGTAACCTTTCTCCCCAGGAGCTGCTGGATGTGGCCTGGTCTCGCTGCCTGCAGCCAGGGAGGTGCCTCCATGCGGCAGGAGATGGAAGCCCCCTCAGCGGGTGGCTGCTTGTCCCCCGCCTCGCAATCCCCTGCTGCACTCAGAGGAGAGCCTGCGTGGGCCGGCGGCACCCCTGGCTGCCCAGCTGCAGTATTGCAAGCTCAGATCTGTCCCAGGTGCTGGGGCCGGGGCCATCCCACTCCCCGGGCACTGTCAGCTCTGCACATCTGGGGGAGACCTCAATCCTTTCTAGCTACAGACCTGCCCGGCTCTGTAGTCGCTTGCACTGATCCCCCCACCTTCTCCTTGATGCCAAGTCTCTGAGCTTGAGGGAGGGGAAGCCGCTGCCCACGACAAGTGAGCTCCAGCTCAGCCGGGTTTGCATCTAGGTCTCAAGCCTTTCATCCGGGGCTCACGGGAGCAGCACCTATTTTCAGGGCCATGTGAGTGACGCAGCCATGGGGCTCCCCCTCTCCCCCTGTTGAACGTGGCAGCGGCACAGCGCCTACTCACAATACTCAGCCACCACGGTGGGGCCTCGGCAGTTCTTGGGGTTCACGTACACCATGATGCCCGGGTTGCTTCTGGCGAAATCCACCACCTTCTCTTCCACGTAGTCCCTGGGGGAAGGGGAGGATCGGGGGACTCTGACGCTGCTCGGAGAAGGGCTGAGAGAGCTCCCTGCTCCGCAGGGCGTGGACGGGCAGGAAGCCTCGAGCTCACCCCTGCAAGCAGGGGGTGCTCATCTAGAGGGGCCAAGTCTCCGTGTTTTCCCCCCCAAGAGCAGCTCAGGGTGGATGCCAGGCTCTTCCCCGACTTTCCGTCCCTGACTTGGTGAGCTGGGACAAGCCGTGGTAGGAAGCCGCTGAGCCCTGTTTGCAATGTGTGCTCGTCTGAGGGGCGGGGGGTGGCCACGGCTCCCTCCCCACTACTGGGCAGGCCCCCAGCAGGTCCTTTGTCCCCCACCCCCGAAGCTTGGCCCCAACTGCATCTCTCTGGGAGGTGGCAGAGGGGCCAAAAGAGCACCGGTCCCATCACCCCCACTCCGAACTCGGGGCCCCAGCAGAGGTCACGAGGCATGGGGTCAGGGGGCGCACCCCCAGGTCCCTGTGGGAGGTCAGGGGCCAAGTGCACCCACCTGGGGGGGGTCACCCCTCCGACATCCATCCATGCTTCTGGGAGAAGGTCAAAGGGCACGAGGTCAGGGGTCACATGCAACCCCCCCATGCTTGAGGTCAAGGATCATGTGTCACCTAGCACCAGCGCCCCGTGACGTCTGGGGTCACGTGGCCCCGGACAGAGAAGGCGGGGGAAGACGGTCACATGAGTCCCGCGTACCTGGCGCCGCGCGAGCTGGGCGAGGCCGGGCTGAAGACGAGGCTGAGGCGCTGCAGCTGGCAGACGTAGCGGCCCAGCCCGTTGCGCAGGACGCTGGCGAGGAAGCGGCTCGACGTTCCCCGGCCCGTCATGGCGACAGCACTTCCGCCTCCACCTGGAAGCCACCCTTCGCCTCACCCGGAAGCGCTCCCCTCGGGCCCGGCCCGGAAGTGGTACGAAGCACTGGTGCTTCCGGGTTTGTCCCTCATACTTCCTCCACCTCACCCGGAAGGGCTCCCCATCACCCGGAAGTCATCCTCCCCTGCCCTGGAAGCGGCACGCGGCTGTTGTGCTTCCGGGGTGGGGGGGTATGGCGCGCTCCCGGGCGTCGCACGTGGGTGACGGGTAGTGGGGATGGCGCTGCCCACGGGGCCGGGGCGGCGGCTGCTGGCGCTGGCCCTGGCCTGGGGGCCGCGGGC